CTCAGAATGAAGGGGTGCCAATTTAAGATTGAGATAGAGTCATAGAGATGTACAGCATGAAAACAGACCTGTTGGTCCAACTCATGCATGCCAACCAGATATCCCAACTTAATGTAGTCCCATTTGCCAGCATTTGGCCCACATCCCTCCAAACCCTTCCTATTCATGTACCCATCCAGATGCCTTTTAAAGGCCTCCAGCCTCCACAACTTCCTCTGGCAGCTTGTTCCATACACGCACCATCCTTTGCGTGAAAGTGTTGCTCCTTAGGTCCCTTTTATATCTTTCCCCTCTCACCATAGACCTATGCCCTCTAGTTTTGGACTCCCCCACCCTGGGGAAATGACCTCGACTGTTCACCCTATCCATGCCCCTCATGATTTTATAAACCTCTGTAAAGTTCACCCCACAGCCTCTGATGCTCCAGGGAAAAAAGCCCCAGCCTACTCAGCCTGTCCCAATAGCTCAAACCCTCTTGCCCTTGCAATATCCTTGTTAATCTTTTCTTTCAAGTTTCACAACATCCTTCCTCTAGCAGGGAGACCAGAATTACATGCAATATTCCAAAAGTGGCATAACCAATGTCCTGTACAGCTGCAACATGACCTCCCAACTCCTATACTCAATGCCCTGACCAATAAAGGCAAGCACACCAACGGCCTTCTTCACTGTCCTGTCTATCTGCGATTCCACTTTCAAGGAACTTTGAAACTCCAAGGTCTCGTTGTTCAGCAACACTCTCCATGACCTTACCATTAAGTGTATAAGTCCTGCCCTGATTTGCCTTTCCAAAATGCAGCACCTCACATTTATCTAAATTAAACTCCATCTGCCACTCCTTGGCCCATCAGCCCATCTGATCAAGATCCTGTTGTACTCTGAGGTAACCTTCTTGGCTGTTCATTGCATCACTAATTTTGGTGTCATTTGCAAACTTACTAACCATACCTCCTGTGTTCACATCCAAATCACTTATATAAATGTGGACCCAGCACCGATCCTTGTGGCACACCGCTGGTCACAGGCCTCCAGTCTGAAAAGCAACACCCCACCATCACCCTCTGTGTTCTGTCTTTGAGCCAGTTATTTATCCAAATGACTAGTTCTCCCTGTATTCCATGTGATCTAACCTGATTAACTAGTCTACCACGAAGAACCTCGTCAAACACCTTACTAAAGTCCACATAAACCACGCCCACTGCTCTGCCTTCATCAACCCTCTTCGTCACTTCCTCAATAAATTCAATCAATTTAGTGAGACATGATTTTCCATGCACAAAGCCACATTGACTATCACTAATCGGTCCTTGCCTTTCCAATTATATGTAAATTCTGTCCCTCAGTATCCCCTCCAACAACTTGCCCACTACTGATGTCAGGCTCACCGGTCTATAGTTCCATGGCTTTTCCTTACCACCTTTCTTAAATAATGGCGCCACGTTAGCCAACATCCATTCTTCTGGCACTTCACCCGTGGCTCTCGATGATACAAATATCTCAGCAAGGAGCCCAGCAATCTCTTCCCTAGCTTCCCACAAAGTTCTAAGGTACACCTGATCAGGTCCTGAGGATTTATCCACTTTTACACGTTTTAGGATGTCCAGCATCACCACCTCTATACTATGGTCACTTTTCAAGATATCGCTATTTATTTCCCCAAGTTCTTTAGCTTCCAAATCCTCCTTCACAGTAAACACTGATGTGAAACACTCGTTTAGAATCTCCCCCATCTCCTACGGTTCCATACATAGGCAGCCTTGTTGATCTTTAAGGGGCCCTATTCTCTCCCTAGTTCCCCATTTGCCCTTAATGTATTTGTAGAATCTCTTTGGATTCTCCTTAACTCTATTTGCCAAAGCTATCTCATGTGCCCTTTTTGCCCTTCTGATTTCCCTCTTTATACTCCTCTAGGGATTCACTTGATCCCTGCTGTCTACCTGACCAATGCTTCCTCCTTTTTCTTGACCAGAACCTCAATTTCTCTAGTCATCCAGCATTCTCTACACCTACCACCTTTACCCTTCACCCGAACAGAAACATTCTGTCTCTGGACTCTGGTTATCTCATTTTTGAAGGCTTCCAATTTTCCAGCCATCCCTTTACCTGCGAATAACCACCCCCAATCAACTTTTGAAAATACTTGCCGAATACTGTCAAAATTTGCCTTCCCCCAATTTAGGATTTTAGCTTTTAGATCAGATTTTTACTTTTCTATCACTATTTTAAAACTAATAGAAATATGGTCACTGGCCCCAAAGTGCTCCCCCACTGACAACTCAGTCACCTGCCCTGCCTTATTTCCCAAGCGAAGGTCAAGTTTTGCTCATTGTCTGATAGGTACATCCATATACTGAATCAGAAAATTTTCTTGTATGCACTTAACAAATTCCTCTCCATCCAATCCCTTAACACTATGGCAGTCCCAGTCTATGTGTGGGAAGTTAAAATCTCCTACCATTACGCCCCTACTATTCTTACAGATAATTTCGATCTCCTTACAAATTTGCTTCTCAATTTCCTGCTGACTATCGGGAGGTCTATAGTACAATCCCAATAAGGTGATGATCCCTTTCTTATTTCGCAGTTTCACCCAAATAACCTCACTGGATGCACTCCCCTGAAATATACTTCCTAAGTACAGCCGTAACGTTATCCCTAATCAAAAACACCAACCCCCTCCTCTCTCACCTTCCTTTCTATCCTTCCTAAAGCATCTATACCCTAGAACATTAAGCTGCTAGTCCTGTCCATCCCTGAACCATGTCTCTGTAATTGCTATGATATCCCAGTCCCATGTTCCCAACCATGCCCTGAGTTCATCTGCCTTACCTGTCAGGCCTCTCGCATTGAAATAAATGCAGTTTAATTTATCTGTCCTACCTCGTTCTCTGCTTTGCTTCTGCCTGCCATGACTGTTTAACTTGCTACTTTTCTCAGCTGCACTAGTCTCAGACTGATCCTTTTTCTCACTATCTCTTTGGGTCCCATCCGTCCCCCAACCAACCAGTTTAAATCCTCCCGGGTGGCTCTAGCAAATTCCCCCGGCTGTATATTAGTCCCCTTCCAATTCAGGTGCAATCCATCCTTCTTAAACGTGTCGCTTCTACCCCAGAAGAGATTCCAATCATTCAAAAATACGTATCCTCTTCCCAGGTCCTCAGCCAAATGTTCATCTGCTCTATCCTCCTATTCCTACTCTCACTAGCACATGGCACCGGAAGTAATCCAGATATTACTACCCTTGAGGACCTGCTTTTTAACCTCCTACCTAATTTCCCAGATTCTCTCCTCAGAACCTCTTCCTTTTCTCTTCCTATGTCAATGATTCCAATGTGTACAATGACCTCCTGGCCACTCTCCCCTTTGAGAATATTCTGCACCCACTCCAAGACATCCTTGACCCTGGCACCAGAGAGGCAACACATCATTCTGATATCTCGTTGTCGGCCACAGAAACATCTGTCTGTGCCTCTGATTTGAGAGTCCCTTATCAGAATCGATCGCTTGGACCCTGACATACCCTTCATTACAATACAGCCAGTCTTTGTACCGGAAACTTGGCTGTCAGTGCTACATTCCCCTAAGAGTCCATCACCTCTTACATTTTCCATCAGCATACTTGTTTGAGATAGGGATAACCACAGGAGACTCCTGCACTAACTGCCTCCCTTTCCTACCTTTCCTGGAAGTAACCCATCTACCTGACTGTAACTGCGGTTTTTCTATCTCCCTGAAACTGCCATCCATCACACCCCCATTACTGTAAATTCCTCATTGCCTCGAACTGCCACTCCAACCTATCCATGTGATCCGATAGGATCCGTAACCAAACACACTTCTTGCAGACATAACCATCAGTAACATGGAAATTCTCCCTAATCTCCCACATCCAACAGGAAGAGCACATCACTCTACTAAAGGCATCTTTGCATCTTAACAATCCACAGACCCAGAAAATAGCACAGTCTTACTGCGCTAAAAACATTGCTCTAGGATAACGTGGTGGATATGTTTTATATTTTAAGATAGTTTAATCAAGAGCCAGATCTCAGTAATCACATAAACAAAACTAATTTGGATTTACAAAAAATGATAAGATTAGTCTTTTAAAGAAAACACTTAGCTGTTCCCGTGCTGTGAGCATCTCCCAATACTGAGGTGTCTCCAAGGTCAGCTGTGAATTCCACTGTTTGTGTATTTATCTGAGACCGAACACCAATGTCTAGAGATGCTTTAAACTAAACAGCACAGGCAGCCGACTGTGAAAGGTCACTGCTCTTTTTCTCACCTCCAATGTGGTACCTGCTGTCTCAATTCCTCCTGTTTTAATACTATCTTTGTTTTGATTTTTTTCCCCAAAGTGCCAAAACAATGCAACAGCTTATAAAACATTAATTACTGCTCCAAGGATTCAGGGAAATCAGCTCCAACACTGAAAAAACCTTGAAAAATGAGCAGCTGTTACAGCCGCAATTCTCTCCTGTCCTCCACCTTGGATTACTCAGAATTGAGGAGGAATTTCTTCTCTCGGAGCCTTTAGAACTCCTTGCCACAGAAAGCCGTGGCAGAGTCCTTGTGTGTATTCAAGGCCAAGATAAATAGATTCTCAATCAGGGAAAATGCAGGAAAGTGGACATGAGGAATGTCAGATCAGCCATGATCCTATTGAATGGCAGAGGGGCCAAATGGCCTACTCCTATTCCTACGTTTTTTTCGCCTTATAAAATGTGGTTTGAGCAGATTGTGTGTCAGTGATCTGCTCCCTGGAAAACATCATTTCACGAAGAAAATAATTATAATTATGAAAGGGATGGCTCTAAGGAAAAGGCAGTCAATCACCTCTCCTCCTTTAAAAGGTTATTTTAAGTGTTTAAACACTTTTTAGTCCAATGAATTATTACATGGGATATTTTTGTTCAAGTTGAGTATGAGTCTGTTTTATCTTATTGTTACAAGGAGTTGTTTTGCACATTTAGTTTCATATTAATTGTACAGGTAGAAGTTTTTGTACTGATATTCCAGATTATTGACAATGTCACTCAGCAACCTACATCCCAGCACCCAGTGTTACTGTGACTGTACACACTGGCATTAATCTAGCTCCCTCAGCCTCTTCGGTGCTCTATGTCATCGACAGTATCTGTACTGCTGTTAATTTCTTCATGTGATTAAAGATGAGTGACCTTAAGGGCAATGCAGTGATGCTGTGCACTGTTTCACTGGAAAGAGGGGAGGGCGTCTGCCCAGCTCATTGTTCCTAATCACTAAACAGTCTTTATCTAAGTGTGGTTATTGAGTGAAGGCAGTTTTGGGATCAGCTGCAATATTCTCTAAAGATAAATAGTCTGCTGATACCTTTCTGAGCAAAGCAGGAACAGGGTGGAAGCCATTCAGCTCTTTGAACTATTTCCTCCATTCAGTTAGTCCAAGGCTAATCTGAATCTCAACTCCTTTTGCCTGCCTCTGATTCAGAATCCTTGACGTTATGCTAAATAAAATGATCAATCCAGTTTAGACATTTTATCATTGATGGAGCACCCTGGGAGCTGTGTTCTGGGCATAAGGAGAAAGGGAGGAAAGGATAACGTTGCAGAGACAGTTAACACTGCTATTAAAGTCTGCAAACAGTTGCTAAGCTGTGACCTGTGCCTGTTTAAATGCAGAGGTTTGACCGATGAGTCAGAGATCCTGAAGTTTCTGCAGCACGGCACCCTGGTGGGATTGCTCCCTGTGCCTCATCCCATCCTTATTCGCAAGTATCAAGCCAACTCTGGCACTGCCATGTGGTTCCGCACGTACATGTGGGGTGTCATTTACCTGAGGTGAGCAGTTCCTTACCATCCAATGTGCTGTCTTTTCAAGGAATAGTTTGTGTGGATCTTTCAGACGGAGTTCACCAGCGTAATGGCAGTTCAGGCTTTTCAGGGAATTTCGTGGAATCCCTACAGTGTGGAAGCAGGCTGTTCAGCCCATCGAGTCCACACCGACCCTCTGATGAGCATCCCATCCAGACCCACGCTCTGCCTTATCCCTGCATTTCCCACTCTAGACGCTACGGGCAATTTAGCATGGCCAATCCACCTAACCTGCACATCTTTGGATTGTGGGAGGAAACTGGAGCACACAGAGGAAATCCATGCAGACACGGGGAGAATGTGCAAACTCCACACAGACAGTTGCCCAAGGGTGGAATCGAACCCGGGTCCCTGGCGCTGTGAGGTAGCAGTGCTAACCACTGAGCCACCGTGCTGCCACATCCTGTTCCCCCATGCAGCCATATGCAGCTTGGGAAGAATACTTTAAGAACTTGCATTTACATTTTGCGTAGGATTATGGAGAATACAGAAACAGGGCATTCAGCCCAACCGGTCAACATTGGTGTTTACGCTTTATGCACACCTCCTTCCACCTTTCCTCATCTGATCCCATCATCGTAACCGTTTATTCCCTTCTCCCTCACGGGCTAATCTAGGTTTCCATCAAATCCATGTGTATTATTCATTTCAGCCACTCCCCGTGAGAATGAGTTCCACTTTCTCCCCACGTTCTGAGTGAAGTAGTTTCTTCTGAATTCCCAATTGGATTTCTTTGGTCCCTATCTGATACTGACCACCTCTTCCCCAGAGAAGGAAAGATTCCCTCTTATCCACTTGGATCAAAATTTTCCATGATTTTAGGTTGCCCCTCCTTTATTAAAAGAGAAGAGACCCAGCCTTGTCAGTCCTTCCCAGGAACGTTTACCCAGAATTATTCCTGTATATTATCTCTGTACCCTCTTCATCATTTTTGAGCAGAATTGCAGCTAGGTTTGGTACACATTTCCCATAACATCTCTACTTTTCAATTCTATCCCACGGGATATAAAGCCTCCTGTTTGTTTTTTTTTCATGACTTTGCTAAACTGTGGCACCATTTTAATTCTGATGTATTTGTACTCCGATGTCTCTATCCCACCCAGCAGACTTGAATATTCCAAGTAATGAGTGACTGCCCTATTCTTACTCCCAAAGTATACTGCCCTTGTATTTAACTGTTTTAATCTTCATTTATCAATGATTAGCAAGTTAGCCTGGGTTATCCTTGAGTCCTGACTGAGACTTTCAGGTCATCCTGTGAGAGCGGACTCGTACTTTTTCAGTCGACAGCTGCACTCACATAACGTAAGTGGGTTACACTCGCCCTGACCTTTCTGTTTGTTTCCACAGGAATGTTGACCCACCCATCTGGTATGACACCGATGTGAAGCTTTTCGAAATTCAGCGGGTTTGAGGACCCACGCTGGAATGGAGAACTCTCTAGCCAAATTACTTTTCACTTTAATTCTCAGTCTGTCAGCTGGTTTCTGCACCTCTTTATCTAAATCGATATAAGACACCCTTTCACATCGTCTGTGTACCCCCGATAGGATTGTGGGCAGAGCCCTTCCTTACTGAGCCAGAAACTCTCAAATTCTCCCCTGTTGCTGATTGAATGGTCAGTGCTAACCTGACCAGATAGCCCTGTCCCCACGCTGCTCTGTCTTCAGGGTTTCAGTCTGCGACACATTATGCAATTCCTTTACTGAACGATGGTAACAGCCCATGACTCTTGGTTAATAAAGCAGCACCTACGCTAACTCACTCTGGGAGCAGCACCTACTATTGCGCCAGATTCCCTGAGTGAGGGTAATGGTAAACTCCACCCTACCCCTGTCCTTCAGTGTCTCTCTCCTGACCCCTGCCCTC